CTCTGCCTTCTGAGTGCTGGAATTACAAGTGCGTACCACCATGGCTGCTAGAAAGATATTTCCAGGCTCCCTAATGTTAACTTCTGTTCCCTCACACCCATGTAAGTCTGTATCTCTCTCTGCAGAATCTGCTGTATTTCTCCTCCAGTTTCACTCTTTTAGAGATGCTCTGCTTATCTTAATTTCTGCCACCATCCAGACTTCTCTGGTCTTGGTGATAGCACACTGGGAACTTGTCAGTGCTGGTTTCTGCTTGGCTCTGTGAGGCCCCTTTAGTGCACAGGAGGTCATGTGATGTCTTGTTGCTGCTTTTGTGATGAGAGCTGAGGAAGGGAAGTCAGCAACAGGGATAGTTGGGCAGAAAGATTGTGTTCTACTTTCAAACATGTTAGAACACCTCTGTGAAAGAAAGGAGGTCCGTAGGCAGTTTGTAATGTCCTTAGTATGGTGTTTCTGCATAAGGGCTTAAGAGATGACAGCTGTTAGTGGCAGGAGGGCTTGGAAACTACTTAGGCACCCTGAACCGAGTTTTTTTTTTTTTTTTTTTTGAGACAGGGTTTCTCTGTGTAGCCTTGGCTGTCCTGGACTTGATTTGTAGACCAGGCTGGCCTTGAACTCACAGAGATCCACCTGAGATTACAGGTGTTCACCACTGCGCCAGGCTTCAAAAATTTTTTTTATTTTTCAGTGTTAAAGTGGTTCTCTATGACTGTCCTAATCAGACCTCAGGCAAATCTGCGTGAGATACATGACAAGACAGAGCCAGATGATGAAGTCTAGGTAGATTACAGTTTAGATGAGTACAACAGTTCCTCAATCCCTTGCTAATAGTGCTCATCAAAGCATTTAAATCACAATTTTTGCGAGTAGGGATCCAGGCTGCAGGGTGCTATAAACACAGCTCAGGCGACACCACAGGAGAACCTGCATCAGCAGGTGCTTTGGTCACTGTGAACATCGTGGAGTGCACTTGCACAATCCCAGGTGCGAGGGCGGCTGCAGTGTGACGTGGCATGCAGTTTCACAGTGCGCTGGCTGGTTTTTGTCCATTTGATAAAAACTAGAGTCATGTGGGAAGAGGTAACCTTGATTGGGAAGATGCCTCCTCTATCAGACTGGGGTGTAGGCAAGTCTGTGGGGTATCGTGTTAATACTGTGTTAATTAATGACTGATGTGGGAGGGCCTCCCACACTGTGGGCAGTGACATCCCTGGGCAGGTGGCTCTGGGTTGTATAAGAAAGAAGACTGAGCAAGGCCTCAAGAGCAAGCTAGCGCAGAACTGGAGGTCAGATTTCTCCACTATTATCTGCACAGTTCCCAAACAACCTCCACTGTAGACTGAAAGTATGCTCTACGTCTCAAGTACTTTCACATGCCTTGCACGTGAATTATTACAATTTTAACCCGCACACTCAAATTTTTCCAGATGAGTAATGGTCTCTGCTTCAATTCCAGCCTGGACTTCTTGTCATGATGGGCTATAAGCTGAAATAAACCCTTTCCTTCCCAAGTTTGTTTTGGTCAGTGTTTTATTATATTAATAGAAAGCAAACTAAGACACACAATAAAATATCTTTAAAAAAAAATAAGCAGAGCTACACTCTAAAGCAACAGTAGGAAATACATAGTCATTTATTTTCATTATCAAGTACTATCTACTGTACAGTACTGTCTTCTCTGTGCCTGGCCCGCAGGCTTGTTTACACCAGAGATCACTGCCACAAACACATGAGAAACTCTTGGTGCTGAGATGCTGTCCTGGCTACTACACCTCAGGGAGGCAATAGGAATTTTGTGTGAGTTTTCCAGGGGCAAGAAAAAGAAAAATCTGTTACATAAGAGAGAGGGCACCAGTGACCCAAGGAGCTGCTGGGGTCCCGCGTAGGAACGTGGGTGACTCAAAGGCAGTTGCAACACCAGAAAGCCTGTTCCGCAGTAACTGTCTACTACTGACACAATCCCAGAGAGGGGCCATGTGAGTGTTCCTCATCCTGCCATGTAGGAATGTGACTAGGTCTGATCTGGAGAGCCTCCTTGCAGGTGATCAACAGCCACTCTGATTCAGGATGGCCACATCCAACCTGGAAAAAACAGCTTTATCATAATCAGAGAGGGCCACTGTCAAACAGTGTGGTCTTACAGTTGACAGAAACTTCTGGATTGTGGGACCGACACTGGTATTTTAAATGTCATGTATTTTTAATTGAAAGAAATCAGCATTTAACAAGTGAAAGATAGGCCTATTTGGATGAATCTGAGTCTAAAACAGAACCCCCCCACCCCCACCCCCCAGACAGGATCTCACTATGTAGCTCTGGCTGACCCTGGACTCACTATGTAGAGAAGGCTGGCCTTGAACTCACAAGGAATTACCACCTCTACAAGTGCTACCATGTCCAGCCAGAGTTTCATTTTGACACAGGGTCTTAATCATTTTGTAGCCCAAGCTGAACTGGTGCTTAGCAATCCTCTTGCTTCAATCTCCCAAGGTGTGGAGAGTACAGGCAAAAATCCTGAACATTTTTAAATCTCATTACTCCCAAAAGAAATTATTTCAGGATATTTATTCTTTTGAAAAGTCATTTGGGCTGCAGAGATGACTCAGTGGTTAAAAGAATGTGCTGTTCTTCTAGAGGACCCAAATTTGATTCCCTGCACCTACATTGGGCGGCTCATAACTGTATGAGCTCTAGGAGATCCAATGCTTCTGGCCTCCAAGTGCCCTTGTACCCATGTACATATAATTCAAAATAACATATTAAAATAATATATATTTAAAAAACTTGGAAGAAGAAAAATGAAACTATTTGTTGTTGTTGCTTTGTTTTGAGACAGGGGCTCTGTAGACCAGGCTGTTTTCAAATTCAGTATGCTGGGATTAAAGATGTGTGGCACCATGACTTTTTTTTTACTGTTGTAATTTTTTAAAGAATCTGGTGATAGTTAGGGGAAAAAAAACAAAGACAAAAACAGAAATAATGGTCAGAATGAATAGTTTCCTCCGGCATGTAGTAGTGTGATGTTAAGTGGGAAAATAGTACCTTGTTTTTATGGGCTTGGGATTGAATCTCAGGGCCTCACATATGCTAGGCAAGTGCTCTACCATGGAGCCACACTCCAGCACAATTAAGTTTTGTTTTTTCCAGAGACAGAGTTTCTCTGTGTAACCCTGGCTCTCCTTGGACTTGCTCTATAATCAGGCTGGTCTCTAACTCAAGAAATCCACTTGCCTCTGCCTCCCCAATGCTGGAATCAAAGGTGTGTACTACCATGCCCTGGGACTAGGGTTGTAATTTAAGGGTAGAACCTAGAACTCAGGTATGAGACCGAGTTTGATTCTTTGCACCACCACAAAATAATGTGATTTTCATGTCAACCTATGCTTCCTTCCTTCTTTCCTTTTTAAGAGAGTGTCTCATGATCTCATGACATAGCTTTGGCTGGCTGACTCATGTAGTCAACAAAGATCCTTCTCCCTCTGCTCCCAAACACTGGGATTAAAAGCATGCCTATTCACCATGCCTGGCTACAGTAAGCTTTATCAACTCCTTACAGCTTTAGCAAGGATGTGACCTGATTTCTGGGGAAAGGGAGGCAGCTAGCCCGTCTGTTATACTTGAACAATAAACTTTTCAGACAGGGTTTCTCTGTGTAGCTTTGGCTGTCCTGGACTAGGCTGGCCTTGAAATGGCAGAGATCCACCTGCTTCTCCTTCTGAGTGCTGGGATTACAGGCATGTGCTACTATACACTGCTTTTTAAAAAACTTCTTTTTAAAATAAACTTTCTCTTAATCTATGATCTCTGCATCTTTTTTCCTCTACTAAATATGTTATTTGTTTGGATGTCTTTGGAAAGGATGCCCTTGCACCTGAAGAATGACTTGGAAGAAAAATGTTTATCCAAATAGTTGTCCCCCCTTTCCCAGGCATTTCTAGAATATATAAATGTGTTAGTGTGTGGTGCATAAGCATGTGTATGCCTTTTTGCATGTGTGTGGAATCTAGTGTGTGTTAGTGGATTGGGCAGAGGCTAAGGCCATGTATCCTTCTCAATCACCCTTCATCTTATTTATTAGGGAGGGTCCTTCACTTGATCTCAGAACTTATTGACTCTGCTAGTCTGACTAGCCAGCTCGCTCCTGGGACAGCGTGCTGGGCTTACAGGTGGGTTGCCATGTTGGCCTGTTACTTAGGTAGCTGCTGGGATTTAAACTCCTGTCCTGATTCAGCAATCCTCTAAATCCCTAAGCCCTCTCTAGTTTTAAAATTTTATTTAACGTGTCTATCTGTCCATCTAGTTTTAAATTCATTTTTAGCTCCTCACACCATAGATAACAAGTTGCTTTTTTTTTTTTTTTTTAATGGACTCATGGATGCTATTTCTATTTGTATAGCTAATTGAGTAGACAAAGCTTATCCCATGCGAAGGAATCAAGGTCCCAAGCGCTCCTGAGGTCAGAGCCAGGTTTGCTCTTCTCCTTCCTGAGCTCATTTCTCTGTAACCCTAGCTGAAAACGTGTGACCCTATTCTAGGTACATCTCAAAATCGAGATGATGCTTTGGGTTACAGATAAAAACATTAAAGAGAAATAGCCCTTTCACCACAACGGTCCTTACTGTCAAAGTTTCTAGACCTCTCAACCTTACAGGGGAAGGCTGGACGGAGTTAAGTATGTGGAGGGCTGGGTATTACATTCACTCTGGGAGCACATTTTCCATTTCTTTATAACTGTCGATTTTTTTTTTTTTAATGTGTGAGATTAGAGAGATCCGGACAGAAAGGACTAGACAACGGCAAGTTGGATTTAGAATCAACTCGACATCTTTTCCAGTTAGCTGAGCCCAAGATTGGCCTTAGGGCTTCAATACAGGAGCTTTTTTACCCATAGTCCCAATTTCACAATTGCATCACGTAAAATCCCTCCATTAACAGAAAGCAACTCAGTTCCTTAGACTTATGAGAACGAAAGCCATGCACTTAAAGAGGAATTCACTTACTTGCGCCTCAAGGAACACTCACGCCTTCAAACATATTGGCAAGAACAATTTGAAGAGGGTCACAAAAATTGGCCTGTAGTCCTAGTGCACTGGAGGCGGGGACAGATGGATCTCTGAGCTCCAGGCTAGCCAGGGCTGCTTAATGAGACAGAATATCTAAATGAAGTTTTAAAAGAAACAGGTGCTTTTGCAAAGCCTGGGCTTCTTTTACCTGGTCAGTCTTCGAGGGAGCTAGGAAACGCTTTGGATACACCTTTTTGCATCCAAAGGTGGGTCATGGTGTATTTTGAGGGCACTGACAGAGAAAACATTCCTAAACACCGACCCCCACCGCCCACAGACCACCCCTCGACCGTCTCCTCCGGGTCAGGGTAAGGAAACTCCGCCCCACTAGGATTTCCGGCTCCGCGGGAACTTCCGCTCTCGGCTCCAACCAGGAGTCACCGGAGCCTCTGAAGGGGCCGCCCCGGAAGTGACGCAGGGACGCTCCTTCCATTTTGTGCAACGCCCGAGCTGCTAAGTGCGTCAGTTGTGGAGAGACGTAGAGGAGTTGAGTTCGGGTCTGTAGGGAGGCAGACAGCTCCGTCGCAGACTACGGACCTCTTCAGGTCTCAGCCGCCAAAGACCCTGTCCGGTAGGTGAGTGGCTCGCTTTGAGGGCAAGGCTTCTCGGATCGAGGCTTCTTCATGGCCGCTCGGGTCGCGAGTGGCCGGGGCTTCGCTCTTTGCGGAGGACGGCGTCTAGAGAGCGCAGTTGATTGAGGTGGGCGCTGGGGCACGTCTCCCTTTTGGTGTTGCTTGAGGGGGACACGAGGTGGAAGGGCGGGCGTCGCGGGGAGGGCGTGTGTAGGGGGGAAAGCAACGCGCCCCTCCCTTGCCACCCTTCCTGCTCCTTCTTTGATCCCGCCTGTCGGGAGCCAGCTTTGCCCGTGACTTGTAGGGTGTTTTTATTGGCCGGTCCGCAGGCAGGCAGGCAGGCACGGTGCTCGGGACCCGGCTCGCTCGGGGCTGAGGACGGAGCTCGGCTGGCTGGCTCGCTCGCTCGCTCGCTCCTCCCCCGCCGCAGACCCCGCCGCCGCCATTTTGTACTGCGAACGCGCCCGTCGCCGACTGCGCAAGCTCGGCTGTGGCGTCGCGAGATCCCCGCTTGTGACGTTGCGGGGGAGGCCGCGACGCGTGCGCGGCCGGCTGCTATTGGAGTAGGCCCTGCGGAGGGCGGGGCCGGCTTCGCCCGCATTTCTCAGCCTCTCCTAACTGCGGCAGATGGGAGGGGGCCCCGGAGCCGGCAACGGAGCGCGGCTGCGCAGTCTAGAAAGGTGGCAAGAGGGCGTTGCGGTTGGCTGTGGTGTGGAACCCGGGAGGGGGTCGTTTGGGGAGTTGGGTTTTAATTTGAACGGCTTAAAGAGGCACCTTGGCGGCCTTGTTTGTTGGCGTTGGTAAACGTATTTAGGCTCCATGTGTGTTTGACGGCTTGACCGCACGGTCCCCGTTTCCATTCATGGATAATGTCCCGATTGAATTACTGCCTGACAGGACGCACTAACTGGGCATCATGAGTGGCTGTCGAGTGTTCATCGGGAGACTAAATCCAGCAGCGAGGGAGAAAGATGTGGAAAGATTCTTCAAGGGTTATGGGCGGATCAGAGATATTGATCTGAAAAGAGGTTTTGGCTTTGTGGTAAGTATGTCATCGAACTGAGGGAATTATCTATCAAGAAGTAGGTAACCTGGTGGTACTGGTAGCGGCCATCGTACAAGCCTTTAACCTCAGCGCTTGGGAGGCAGAGGCAGGCCGATCTTTGGAGTCCGAAGATAGCTAGGACTACCCAAGAGAAGCCGTGTCTCAAAAATAAAAACAAAACAAAAAAGTAGGTGAAGAGCAAGGATTTTAAACTGATTGAGCCCATGTGTAATTTTTTTCCCCCTGAAAGATGTTAGATGTGCTTGTGAGGCAGCGAGTGCTATTAAGAATTCAAATGGCTGGCTGGAGCTCATTCCCAGTCTCCCTTGATTAGGCTTATGTGTATCTGAGTTTAAGGTATATCTCATTCTAACACTTTGCGTGCTCTTAATACACTGTAGAATGCATGTCCAAAAGTTGTACCGAGTATCTTATTGCTACATTTTAGGAATTTGAGGACCCAAGGGATGCAGATGATGCGGTTTATGAACTTGATGGAAAAGAACTTTGCAGTGAAAGGTAACCATGATAGGTTTATAAGTAGTTCTCCCGGGAAAATAGAGCAAACTGGGATAGTTGCAGTAATAAGTGCTCTTGTATATATGTAGTGTAAACATGTAAAACTCTTCATATCTTCATAGGGTTACTATTGAACATGCTCGGGCTCGGTCTCGAGGTGGACGAGGGAGAGGACGATACTCCGACCGTTTTAGTAGTCGCAGACCTCGAAATGATAGACGGTACGTTGTGGGCTAATGGCCATCAGTGCCATAGGAATCATTAGCCTTAAATGTTTCTCAGACTAGTAAGTCTGGTTAAGTAGTTTACGTACTAAAAATCCAGTGATTTGATGGAAGTCTCTGGACTCAGTGTCTTTGGTTGCTTAAACTTGTCAGTAAAAACAAACAAACAAAAAAAAAAACACGTCATCTGACACTATGACATAGCATCTGACACAGAGTGCGTATTTTCTTTTTCAGAAATGCCCCACCTGTAAGAACAGAAAATCGACTAATAGTTGAGAATTTATCCTCAAGAGTCAGCTGGCAGGTTTGTTGAAATACAATTTTGAGATATTTTAATGTGGCATTTAAAAGTTAATGGGTAGTTAATGGTTTATTAATATATTTTATTAAAAAGTCTTATCTTAAATTAATGGATATAATTGAACTATAATTTTAAACTTTAATTAAATGTAACTGGGGGATGTTTCAGATTTTAATATTAGCGATCAAATGTATATGTTTTGAGGTTATTTTTTCATGTTTTTAAAAATCAATTTTAACCAAATATTAAACCCTTTATTTGCCAGCCTATCTGTGTCGTTGGCCTTATGACGAGGAGTGCCTGTGGGTTATCCTAATCGTTGTCTTGGTCACTCTTGGTTGGGCCTGGTTGACTTTGCCAGTCAGCTCCTACAGTGATCAGTTGGCCACCTCTAGATCTGTGTTTGCCGGTCTAGACGTAATCGGTGCACTTACTTGAAGTGCCGGGTTGCAGCGATCCCAGAACGTTGATAACGTGATCTGATCCCTAAGTTGAGAGCTGTCTTCCTGTAACGCTTCCGAATAAGAGGTCCTGGTCGAAAGAGTTGAAAGATACGAAATTAGTTGGTCGTTGGAATCCTGATCGCAGTAAAGTGGTCCTTGGTAACTGCACAAGAGTAAAACATGTCTGCATCGCCAGTAGTCTGCTAATAGGGAGGGCTGTGCGATTTAAAGGCTTCCATCGATTGGGTAGTATCCTTCAAGTGGGTGGCGAAGAGCCAGTCGGGCCTATGTCATGAAGGTTTCTCCGACCGCTTAATGGTTTGCTGCTTGACTAGCCTAGGGAAATGTTAATAAAGGTAAAGTAAAATTTTTTAATGACATATGGGGCACAAAATAACTGGTGTCTTTGTAAATGTTTTTTTTTTCTTTTTTTTTTTTTTAAATATAAAGCTACTTTAGTCTTTAAAATATGTACTGTTCCTTTTTTGGTTTTTTTGTTGTTTGTTTTGTTTTTTGTTTGTTTTTTCCCCCCTTTTGTACTGAGCTCAGTTAGACTAATACTACTGTAATGTTAAAAATTGGAATTTCCTCTAGCATTTTGCTTAAAAGCAATATGCTATTTGTTTATTTCGTGCCCTGGCATAATTTTTGAATTCTGATAGAATACAAGTGTGGTATATGCCATGTTTGTACTTTATCTAACAACTTCTCTTTCAGTAGTCTTGTTTTTATACCATGTGGTTGTTTGTGTGCCAATTTGCCCTTTCTCTCCTTAACATAATTGTCTTGTGTTAAGGATCTCAAAGATTTCATGAGACAAGCTGGGGAAGTAACCTTTGCGGACGCACATCGACCTAAACTAAATGAAGGGTGAGTGTGCACTGCACTTGTGAACCTTTTAGTTGTCTTGGGGATTTTATCGTGGCATTGATAGCGTCTAAAATTTGCGTGTGCTTGATTGTGGTAGTTTTGCATTGACAGTTTGGGGATACAGGTTTATCACAAGGGATTGTTGATAATATTGGCATTTAGTAGGCACTTGGCGTATTGCTATACATTCAACAGTACATGGGAGGACACCTTAGAGAGTTGTCTGCCTCAGAACCATGCTATACTATGCTGTGTATCTCACAGTGATTTAATAACAGCAGGGAATCAACTTAAAAATGTTTATCTTGATCTCTGTAGACAGTCTGTAAGGCTTGGGTATTTAAGTTTTAAAATTTTTTTCTCCCCTGTTTTAGGGTAGTTGAATTTGCCTCTTATGGTGACTTAAAGAATGCTATTGAAAAACTTTCTGGAAAGGAAATTAATGGGAGAAAAATCAAATTAATTGAAGGCAGCAAAAGGCACAGGTATTCTTTCTTTAATATTTTTAAGCTAAAAGTTTTACTGGCTTTTAGAGCCCCGTCATACAGGTTAATTTTTCTTTTCTCCTTCCCATTTTTGATAGCAGGTCAAGAAGCAGGTCACGATCTCGGACCAGGAGTTCCTCTAGGTCCCGTAGCCGATCCCGTTCCCGTAGGAGCAAGTCTTACAGCCGGTCAAGGAGCCGGAGCCGGAGCCGGAGCAAGTCCCGTTCTGGTAGTAGGTCTCCCGTGCCTGAGAAGAGCCAGAAACGTGGTTCTTCAAGTAGATCTAAGTCTCCAGCATCTGTGGATCGCCAGAGGTCCCGATCTCGGTCCAGGTCCAGATCAGTTGACAGTGGCAATTAAACTGTAAATAACTTGCCCTGGGGGCCTTTTTTTAAAAAAACAAAACAAATTCCCAAACCATACTTGCTAAAAATTCTGGTAAGTATGTGCTTTTCTGTGGGGTGGGATTTGGAGGGAGGTTGGGCTGGATTTCTTTGTAGATGTGGACCACCAAGGGGTTGTTGAGAACTAATTGTATTAAATGTCTTTTGATAAGCCTTCTGCTCACACTTTTGTGACTGTCTGAAGTATATAGTTTGTGTATATTGATAGAGCTCTTTTATAACTAAAGCATTTAATTTTTTGTACTAGAAAAACTTGAATATTTTAGTTCATTGTTCAGATATGTTAAGATTAGTTTAATAACTCAAATTAAACTAATTAATAGCTTTGGACACTTTAAAAGAGCTCTAAATTCCGCTTGTCTATATAAAGGCTTAATATGAGTTTTCCTTGTTAGGGTCAAGGGTGTCTTCTCACTCACTAGCAGCTGTAGACAGACTTACAGCAGCTGTTTGTTATTAATAAAATATATCAAGAATTATAAAACTGCTTCTGGTCTGTTTCTCAAGAAGTTTTGTATTGTGTACTTTTATTTTGTGTATTCTAAGTTAAAAACACTATACATGATACACATGAACCCTGAGGAAGTGTGGTGTTGTTTTTTTTTCTTTTGCTGTTTGGAGTTAGAAGAGGGGTACAAGAGTATTGTTGAAAACTAAGTTAAATGACAGTTTTACTTCTGTGCTTTCTCATTGTCATCTGACTTGTATTGCCAAATTTTACTTACCTAAAAGCAGAAAGGACGGCGCTTTGATAAACATATAAGATCCAGTGCAAGACTTGTCTTGGCTTCTTGACAGATGCAGCAAAGCTGGGATGATCCTAGGGTAAACAGAAAAATGGGTGTGAAGTAAAATTGTGTGGCCTTGTTAACTTTGATTGTGGTAGTGGATGGCAGTTTGATCTTGTTAATTGCTTTTGTGTTACCCTTCATTTTTGTTTGTTTGATATTGACTAGCTCAAGTCATGTGGCAAAGAAAAAACATGAAGATCAGCACTTTCATAAGTTTAGAACTGTTAGTGGCAGTTTATTTCCTTTGGTTACAGCTTGAAACAGATTGTGGCTGTTTAGAGAACAAAACCCCCTTAGAAATAGTGACATTAATGTTTATCAGATACTGCTGTACAGAGCAGTGCAAGTGCAGGTTTGCTTCAGCCTTCATAGAGCTCAGCCACTGAAAAGGATTTTTGGTTTCTTGAGACAGTCTTTGTACTAAGGTTGACCTTAAGTTTCTGAGCATTGGGGTTATAGGCATGAACTACATTGCCCAGCTCTTGTTTAGTTTTTAAACAAATACCAAATTTAAACAAGTAGAAAATGGGGGATAGGTGATGGTTCCTGCAGAGATGCCCTTCTGTCTCAGGTTTGGCTTCTTGATTCTGCTGATGGATATGCTGGAAGTGCTAGACAATCAGGCAGGCTTGGTGTTCAATTCTTACTGCTGCTGATTTTTCACGTAGGCTTTCTAACTTGCCATCTTCTCAGAATCCAGGCCGTTGGGGGAAGGGCTAGGTTGTGTAGGAGGAATATTGCTGTTGTGGGTGCCTTTTTCCACAGTTGCTGGAATGGCATCTTCAGTTGTAGCAGCCTTGTAGATAATTTTTGTTTTGTCTGTGAAGTTAAAATGGGAGAATGAGTAAAATTGTGGTTTGAATGAGAATGGTCCCTATGGGCTCATGTTTCAATTCTTGGTTTCCACTTGGAGGAATTCTTAGGGAAGGGTTGAAAGGTATAGCCTTGTTGGAGGTGGGTCACTGGGGGTGGGCTTCTGAGATTTCAAAAGCCTGCATGCCGTGCCATTCCCAGTTAACCTTTTTCTACCTGTTTGTGCTGAGTTTCTGCTCCATTGCCCTGCCTGTCTGCTGCCATGCTTTCTGCTATGATGACCATGAACTCTTAACTCTGAAAACTGTAAGCCCCCAATAAACTCTTCTATAAGTTGCCTCTGTCATGGTGTCTGAGCACAGCAATAGAAAATAATTAAGAGCCTTGTAGTGGTGCTGCATGCCTTTAATCCCAGCACTTAGGAGGCAGGCGGATGGCATTTGAGGCTGGCTTGATAAACAGCAAGTTCAGGATAGCCAGGACTATACAGAACCCTTCCCCCCCCCCCCCCAAATCACACCCTTCAAAAAAGTAAGACAAACACAAAGGAACTCTTGAGGGTGTGCTTTGTATGTGCATCTACTGTCTTATCCCCTTCAGAAAGATTTGCTTTCCCTCTGAAATTCCTAATGTAGCACTAGCAATAAGCTGCTTTGTGCAGTGTTTTCGTCCCTTTGAATACAGTTAAGCAGTAGAGGCAAGGGTCGGTTGAAATGAGTAATAAAGACAGGGATGAGGGAAGGCAGGAAGAATGCTTTAGGGGAATCTTTAGGGGATTTTAGACTGCTAACCCCTACCTTACTCAGTCTGGGTACCCCCTGCCATGTGGAAGTGATGAGGAACTTGGAAGACAGGAGTCGCCAGTGCTTTCCCACTTTAGAAGAAATGGGTCAGGTCCCCCCCCCAGTTTTGGTGCTGAGTTCTTTAGAATGGCTTTGGGTCTTGAAAAAATCCACTGTCACAAGTTTATTACAGGTCTTCCTGGTACCACAACCTTAAACCTGGAACCTAATTGAGGGCTTTAGAAGTACTCTACTGAAAGTGCTACACACTGGTTAATAAATGACTGAGTTGTTTGGAGATGAGGTTCTTTCCCAAGCTAGTTTTGAGCCAGAGCTTTCAGTGGATCTGCAGTATAGTCCCTTTTTTTTTTTTTTTTTTTTGGCTCCTTGTGACCAAGGCCACAATTGCCTAGGGAGTGTTGGCATTTGCTAATATAGTGTGGTGAATTCTACCGTAGTTTTTTGTGTGTCTTGTGCAAGTCACAGTTCTTGGGGTCTAGAAAGAGCTTTGGTTTTACTGGAAATAAAACACAGGTAAAGAAATTGGGTTAGGAAATAGCTAAAAAGTAATGTTGGGGTTTTGTTTAACAGTTTTGAAGGAGGGTCTGGAGAGAGGGCTCAGTGGTTAAGAGCACTGTCCGCTCTTCAAAGGACTTGGGTTCAATACCCAGCACCCATGTGGCAGCTCATATGTAACGCTTACTGATCTACATAACCATGAACATAAAAAAAGACATGAGGGTTCTGGGGATGTAGCTCTGGTGGAATGCTTTTTAACATGCCTAAGTACTGGGTTTGATATCTAGTACTAAATAAACATGGCTGGGCATGGTACATGATATGTACTTTGCTGAGCACTTGGAGGCTGGAGAATCTCCAGTTTGAGGCTAGCCTGAGCTTCATATAGAAACCAAAAGATGGTGGGTAGAGTGTCTACTTGTACTTAGTTCTGTGCTTAGTACCACAAAACCAGTGGCTTGAAGTTACTGTTGGCTGGTGAGATGACTTGGCAGGTGAGGATGTTTGCAGCCAAGCCTGAATGGCTGGCCGGAGTTCCAGCCCTGAAATCCACATGGAAGAAGTGACTCTTAACAGAGTTCTCTGACTACATGGGTTTGTGTACATGTACACCTGCAAACAATTTTAAAGTACTTTTTAAAAACTGATGTGTATGGCTGTTTCCCTGCACGTATGTCTTTGTACTACAGGGTCCAGTATTGGGCTGCCTCTAGGACTGGAGTTAGGATTATGAACTGCCTTGAGACTCCTGTGGAAGAGCAATCAGGTGTTAAACTCCTGAGCCCATTCTCCATCCCCTGCAAGTGCTCTTCACTTCCTCAGAAGCAAAGTGCTATATTGTAATTGGTACAAATCATACCAGTTGTGTAATTAAGGTTAGGACTAAGTTACTGTGTAACCAGAAATTGCTTTTTGGTTTCTGTTGAATTAGGACTGTCCTGTGCTTTTCCTTTGGGGCCACTAGGGTGCTAAAGTTCTGACCTGGTTACACAGCTCAGCTCTGAATACTGAAGAGGGCTGAAGGATTCACATAACCTAGAAATCTCTTAGGTCCAAAGTAGTTCTATCCCATTAGCAGTGAAGGTTCTCTTCCTTAGACAAGTGATCTCATTGTCTCAGTCGCTTGAGAATAAACTGCACAACTTGTTTTTGTGAGCTAAAGCAGAAGTATAGTAGTATTGATGGAAAGGACCCTCACTCATCAATAACATACTTTTAATCCTGCCTGGTTCCGGTCCCTCCTGGGGACCTCTTGGTAACTCAGATCCAATGTGCTGGCAGTGCTCAAAGGGGAGATAATTCAGTACTCACCCTTGGGAGTCTTGATTTTCTTATAGCACCGGAAGACAAAAATGAAGAGAAGTCCTTCTGCAAGTTGGAAAATCATGTAGAGGAGAGGAAAGAAGAAAAGTGGTCCAATGACTTGAGGGGGGAAGGTCACATTGAGGATGGTAGAACAGAGTTGAACATTTTGAAATCCTGTTTCCATGCTGATGGTGCGTCTGCACCTGTGAGGGGGGAGAAGCGCTCAACAAGACAGTTGACAGCCACTGCGCCTGCCCTTCTTTCTGATAACTGTAGCCCTATAGTGCCCAGCATAGGAAGAGGGAGGAATCAGCTTGAAGTACTCACGGGTTTAGAGAAAGCCAGACTTCGCATGCCAGCCTAATCCCAACAAGGATGGTGACTAGAAGATACAGGAAGTTTATGAAAGGATGTGTGTGCATGCATGTGGATGTATGCATGGGGCTACTTGGCCTTTTATATACAAGGCATGTAACACTGAGCAACATCTGTCTGGACCCAAGGAGGCCTTTGAATAGTTAGGAAACTTTTTCTACTTTTACAGGATTGCCAAGCTAAAACTTGAAAGTGATTGGCAGATAAGTGGGACCCGGAACCAGTTTTCGTTTATTACCTTTGTTAATGGTAGTCTTACGTGATAGTTGTGCCTTGACCGGACAGTGAAAAATTGAAATGTCGCAGAGCTCACTGTCTGTCTGTAGCTTACATCTTTAACTCTAGAACTTGTCCTTAAAAGCAAATGTCAGCCCCATTGTGTATCTTTGAAAGCTATTTTCCTAATTTTGCTTTCCATTTTGTGGATTGAAGAGCAGGATGCTTGTATTTAAATGAAGGTGCACTTGTCTAATTCCAAGTGTGTCAAAGTAACTTACCACCTTTAGTATGTTATGAGGGATTAATGGGATGGCCCTTGGTGCTATGGTTGTTGTGATCTGTAGCTCCCACAAGTGGTAGGACTGTGGTGCTATGGTCATGAGCAGCCTTTTGCCTCGTGTAGTACAAGCACAGTAATTTCATCTTTGTCAACATGGTTTTAATAGTGAATTTTGTGTGTGTTTTGAAGTAAGTTTCTCTTAGAGTATAGGGAAAGATTATTAATACAGTGGAGCCCAGCTTGTGGGTCACTACCCATTTGGGGATGACCAACCCTTTCATTTGAAAACGCAGGTATTCACATTGTTCCTATCAGCGAAAGTATTACTACAAAGTAGCAACAATTTTGTGGTTGGGGGTTCACCACAACATGAGAGAACTATGAAAGTGATTCAAGTGCAGCATTAGGAACGTTGAGAACTACTGCTCTTATGTGAGACTCCAACTTAAGTATTTGTTGAGGCTGAAAGGAAAGGCCCACAGACCCTCAGGTTGAATGTTACTGTACAGTGCCTGTGTGAGTTGGGTTGCACTGTAGTTAAAGACCTGAGTTGGAGAACTAAAGATTTTCATCTGGCATCCTTGTCAAGGATTCAAGCCTTGTAAAGAGGAAGAAGAGTGGGCAAGGAAAAGAAGTGTTAGTGGTATTAAAGCTACCCGACTGCCATCAACTGTCAGGGAGTTCCAAGAGACGGGATCTCAACACTGGGAGAAGGTGGGCTTTGCCATTAGCCTGCACCCTCTTACCCCCCCAGTATTTCTCATTGCCCAAAATCCTTGTTCAGTTGGTGTCTTTGAATATATGCTCTGCCCATATTTCAAGGTCCCTAACTCCTTATCTCTTCTAAGAAGATGTAAGAAACAGCCCAAGAATGATGGGACCTAAAAATACTTACCTTGGATTGAGTTGGAAGAGAGCAGAGAGAATGTAGCCCATCAGGAAGCCAGAGAAAGGCATCAGGGAGGAGGTAGCCAGCAAGAGTGGTGTCATGGCAAACAAGATGCTGTTGCCCACGTTGATGATAGAGAGGGCAGTGACAGCCACACTGAGGAAGAAAGTCGTAATCATTCCTCCCTGGACATGGGGACAAGAAGAGGCCGTTAGGAGGGTGAGCGTGGCACGGAGATGGGGGAAAACAAATTGGTAGCAGAGATTGGTTTTTTTTTTTGGAGTTCTTACTGGTAGCTCTTACTGGTGGTTAGAGCATCAGCCAAGCTTAGCCAGCTGCTTTTGACATAGCTCCAGATGCTGTGAAATTCTCAATGAAGTGCTGAACCTGTGGAGGGATGAGACTCTGGTTCTGTGGAGCTGGTTGATGCTTATGACATCTTCAGCCTGTATACACAATTGCTCAAGACTTTCCAGACATATTTGGGAGCTCATTAGAACCAGTCATACTTTTCTTAGCTTCTGTCACAGGGAGGGACTTCAATGTTTTTGGACAGTGGTTCTCAACTTCAGGGTAGTGGCCCCATTTGGGGTCCAATGAATCTTTCACAGTGGTCTCCTAAGACCATTGGAAAACACATTTACATTACGATTCATAACAGTAGCAAAGCTACAGTTGGGAAGTAGCAACAAAAATAATTTTATGGTTGGAGGTCACCACAATATTAACTGTATTAAAGAGGTCTCAGCATTAGGAAGGTTGAGAACCACCTTCTTAGGCTGACTGGGCTTCTGGAAATTGCCAAGAGTCATTTGAAGCAAAGCTGATAACACAAGGTGGTTGGTTGAATTAGGTAGCTTCCTTTTTGACTCCAAATGATGTGTAACTGAAAGGAGCCAGCTAGCTTGTGTGACCTGGAAACTAGACAAGAAAGTTCCAGAAATGTGTAAAAGCATTATAAACTCTGCAAAGCTATCATGGCCCCTCCCTCTGGTAGGTGCTGTAAAAGCGTTTATTGAGGGTAATGGCATGTTTTTATGATAGTTAATTTTATAGTTGCATCTTCTATGCAACACTGAGAAGCTCTCTTGGAATGCTCAGGGTTTTCATCATGAAACGTAAGAATGCAAGTTCTCAGAGTGTACTTCTTTGCAGCATGCTCCAAAATGACAAAAATGGGTAAATTTAGGTCTTCTCTTTTGAATAAAGAAATACTTAGCAAAAAAATAAAAATCTCAGTTATATGTTATTTTATGATTATGCTTTGACTTGGCTTTAGCTTCCTTTTTATTCCTGTGTGTGTGATGTTTACTTGTTTTTTGAGATAGGTCTCACTGTGTAACCCTGGCTGGCCATCTAGGACTTGCTATGTAGAAGAGGCTGAAAAGGATGAGCCCTTGGAGGGATCTTCTAAGGGCTGGCATGGTACTCCTTCTGTGTTCCTTCAAACTTCTGTGACATTGTATCTTCTTCCTCTACCCTGGCCATGAAATGCTGGAAGTATTTCTGCTTTTTCCTTAGTCTCTTCTAGCTAGTTACATCAGCCATGGTTGCTCTCTCTATTTAGCCTCTCTCCAGGCTTATATGTAAATCTCAACCTTTGTGTCTGGCTCAAGCCTCTCCAAAAGCTTGGCCATCCTGGCCTTTGGCAGTCTTAAAGACTACCAGACTCATTTGCCTGCTATTGTTTTTTATTTCTCGTGTGTAATTTTACCTTTTTCAAATGACAAACTCTGAAGACAGCGATCCCTCAAAGTGTATGGCAGAGACTTCAAGCATCAAGGAGCATCAGTTTAATTTTATTTTAGTTATATTAAGGTTATATCCACGCACATATGTGTATATGTACACTGGTTTACTTTTTCTCCTGACTCTTGAATAGTATTTGTGCCTGTTACAATCCCATGAAGTAGTAGACACACCAAGAATAGGTGTATTTTCTGTCTCTAATAAGGAAGGGAAGCCTGCTATGATTTGATTGTGTGATCTCCACCCACCTTTCTATATCCACATTTAAAGGCAGATCCTGGGGTGATGCTACTCGTATGTACTGGAAGCACTGTGGCCTCAGGATATGGAGCCTTACAGAAGGTCCTTAGGTCACTGGGGATGATACTGAAAAGGAATAGGGGTCCTGTGCTATCCTCTCTGTTCCGTTTTGGAATGTGAGAACCTGGCCCAACACGTGCTCATGCTGTGATAGACTGCCCTTGCCAAGTGACCCAACATTCACCTAGAACCCCTAGGACAGCAAGTCAAAAGTGAATCCCTCTTCCTAAGTAGCCTATGTGTAGGTAGTTGCTCAGTTACCATGCTCTACCAAGGGTTCCGAGTTCTTACCTTCATGAGGTAGGGTGTAACCCGTGGCTTTTTGGACTTGAGGAAGATCCCTATGGTGCAAGGAATGAGAACCATGACCAGTGATATCATAATGCCTGCATAGGGCACCTTGTCCTTCAGATCTCCATCGTAGATCCCTTTCGTGTAGATGTACAAGAGCAGGGGCATCATGCCCAAGGCACTGAAGGTGGAACAGGTAGTCATCACAATGCTGAGTGGGAGAGATGAGAACAAAGGAAAACCCAGTTAGATGTTTGAGTACCTTCGGTGTACCCAACACTGCACCATGCCTTCTGCCGAAGATACTGTTCTTTTGCTTATAAAGAAGCAGAATACTTGAAGAGTTTTGACTTAACAGTCATGATAGAAGATATAAGAACGAGCCGGGTGTGGTGGTGCCAGCCTGTGATCCCAGCATTTGGGGAGGCAGAGGCAGGTGGATATCTGAGTTTGAGGCCAGGCTGGTCTACAAAACGAGCCGAGGACGGCCAAGGCTACACAGAGAAACCCTGTCTCAAAAAATAAAAACAAAAAAAGCACAGGTCTGTCCCACTTTTTCATACCCTATGTGCTTTATTGGAGAAGGTGCCGTTCTGATTTAAATAAAATGCTTTTTCTTGATTGATGATTGAGGGCCTATCTCACTGTGGGGCCACCACTGAGCTGCTGGTCTTGGATGCTAAAAGAAAACAGACTGAGAACTGGAGAGATGGCCCGGCGTTTAAGAACACTGACTACTTTCTTAGCACCCATATGGCAGCTCATAACTGCCTGTGACTCCAGGATCCAACACCTTCACACAGACACACATGAAGGCAAAACATCAATGCCCACAAAATGCCCATAAAAACAAAGAAACAAAAAAACCGGACTGAGCAAGCCATGAGGAGCAAGCCAGTAAGCAGCATTCCTCCATGGTCTCTGCTTCAGTTTCTTCAGGTTCTTGATTTTATTCAGTGGTGGCCTGTGATGTACAAGGGTAAGCAAAACAAACTTTCCTCAAGTTGCTTTTGACAAACTATTATAAAATTAGAAATTGTAATTAAACAGATGCAGAAAAAATTTAGATCCAGTGGTTATAAAAGTTTAGTACATCAACAATGGAGACTTATTTTTTTGTTTGTTTGTATTGTTTTTCAAGTCAGGGTTTCTCTGTTGTAGCCTTGGCTCACTCGAGTTAAAGACCAGGCTTGCCTCAAACTCACAGTGATCTGCCTGCCTCTTGCCTCCCTGAGTGCTGTGATCAAGGGTGAGCACCATCATGCCCGGCTGAAGATCCTAAGTTTTAAAGTGATATGTACTTAGAGTTTATCATTAAAACAACAACACCAACAACAAAAACAAACTTTAGTGGTGGGCTGGGGAGATGGCTCCGTGGTTAAGAGCACTGGCTGCTCTTCCAGAGGTCCTGAGTTCAATTCCCAGCAACCACACGGTGGCTCCCAACCATCTATAAAGAGATCTGGTGCCCTCTTCTGGCTTGCAGGTGTACACGCAGGCAGAAATTGTATACATAATAAATAAATAAATCTTAAAAAAAAATTAGTGGTTATTAATGACGAGATGCTTCATCCAGCAGCTGATGGAAACAGATGCAGAGACCCACAGCCAAACAATAGGTGGAGTTCAGGGAGTTTTGTAGAAGAGTGGGAGGAAAGATCAAGAGCGCTGGAGAGGTCAAGGGTACCACAAGAAGACCTACAGAATAAACCAACCTGGGCTCATGAGGGCTCACAGGGACTGAACCACCAGCCAAAAAGAGTATGCAAGGGCAGGACCTAGACCCCCTACACATATGTAGCAGATATACAGCTTGGTCAACGTGTGGGTCCCCTAACAATGGGAGTAGGAGCTATGTCTGATTCTATTGCCTGCCTTTGGATCCCTTTCCCCTAGGTGGGTTGCCTTGTCTGGCTTCAGTGGGAGAGGATGCTGCTTAGTCCTGCTGAGACTTGAGATGCCAGGCTGTGTTGGTTCCCCTAGGGAATACACCTTCTCTGAGAAGCAGGAGAGGGAGGAATGGGGAAAGGGGGACATGAGGGTGGGGCATGAAGGAGAGGAGGGAGGGGCCTGTGATCAGGATGTAAAGTGATTAAGTAAATGAATAAAAAACTTTAGTGGTAAACAGCTTACCATAAATTTGTAGATCAGCAAGAGTAGTGGAAATGTATAGGAAGAAGAGAAAAATAAACTTGGATTCTTTTTTTTTTTTTGCTAAGGATTGATCATAGAGGAAAGATTTCATTATAACTATAAAAAATTAAGAGGGTTATAAACACTTGCAATATAAGATAAACTGAGATCAGAATGCTGTTAATAGAATTTTTTAAATAGGTGGCATTTATAATCACAAAATTATAAAATATTTAGAAACGAATTTTGAGGAGATTCCAGGTCTTTACTGAAGAGATTATGAAAAATTACAGGACGGTATGGAAGAAACCTAAGCGTTCTCTACGTCATAGTCATGGCAGAATGGGGAGACGATTATAAAGGGGGTGAGGTGGTTTGGATGAGGAATGTCTCATATGCTCATGTAGTTGAATACTTCATTCCCAGTTGGTGATGCTGTTGGGGAAGGCTGTAGAGATTTCATGGAGGAAGGAGGCTACTGGGGGTGGCTCTGAGGTTTTAGAGCCTGACCCCACTTCCTGTTTGCTTTTACTAGTTTTGCATGTAGATGAAATGTGATCAATCATCCAGCTTCTTGCTCTTGCCATCACGCCTTTCCAACCTATTGCCATGTCCTCCCCATTATGGTGGACTCCATCCCTCTGGAAGTATAAGCCAAAACAGTCTCAACATTTGTGTGTAAATGCTGGAGCTGGAGAGGTGGCTCAGGGGTTAAGAGCACTGGCAGCTTCCGGAGGACCTGGGTTTAAGTCCGAGCTCCCATGTGGCAACCCAGAAATACTCGCATGGCAGTTGACAACCATTTGTAACTCCAGTTCCAGGGGATCTGACTCCCTGTAAAGAGGGCATCAGGCAGGCATATGGCTCACAGACGCATGTGGGCGAAACATCTGTATGCACACACATAAATGCAAGGCAAAGCTAAAGTTCTAGAGATTTCATCTATTCAAAAGCTGATTCTATGAGAAGTTGCTGACATTTTCATGAAGATATGAAGACCTGTAAGGTCACTGTAATTAAGAAAATGTACTGGTAGAAAGAGCCACATTGAACAATAAGACAGTCCAGATACAAGCTCAAGCATATTTCACTAATAAGAGAGGTGGTACTATATAGTATCGGAGGAAAAAAATAAATGGTGCTTAAAATTATTCATATGGAAAATGGAAGATTAGATCACCAATAAAAAGTTCTAAGTTGACGTAAGATTTCCATGTGAAGCTGGGCGCAGTGGTGCGTGCCTGTAATCCCAGCACTCTGAGAGGCAGAGGCAGGTGGATTGCTTGTGAATTTGAAGCCAGCCTGGTTTATAAAGCGAGTCCAGGACAGCCAAGGCTACACAGGGAAATTCTGTCTGAAAGCAGGCTGAGTCATCCATGAGGAGCAAGCCAATGAGCAGCACCCCTCCATGGCCTCTGCATCAGCTCCTGCCTCCAGCTTCCTGCCCTGACTTCCCTGGGTAATGAGCTACGAGCCGTAAAATGAAATAAACCCCTTTCTCCCCAAGTTGCTTTCAGTTATGGTGTTCATCAAAGTAACTGGAATCAAGATACCCGCTCTCACAGCAAATTGCCAAATGTATGACCTGTTGATACCAAATTAAAAACATACAGTGGGATATCTGTTTGTACATGTGGGGATAGTTTTAAAATATCTTGTATGTGTGTTAATAGTTTCAAAAGAGAGCTAGGGGCTAGAAAAGTGGCTTAGCACTTAAAAATGCTTGCTTTTCTTCCAGAGGACCCAAATTCATTTCTCAGCACCCACACTGGTTAGCTCAACCTTCTGTAACTCCAGCTCCAGGGGTTCTAATGATGTTCTCTTCTGGCCTCAGCAGGCACTAGAACATACATAGCACACACATACATACATACACACACACATACCATACACATGTACCTAGGTACATATACACACATAGCACATACATACATAGACATGCTCACATACACACCCATGACACACACATGCAGAGAGACATATACACATTAAAAAATCAAGAAAGCCAGGTGTGATGGAGGCTTATAAGGTCATCTTTGGCCCCATAAGTGAGTTCAAAGCCAGCCTAGGCTACGTGAAACTTCGTCTCAAACAACAAACAAAACAAAGAAGTATTAAAATATCCTTGGAGGTACTGGAGCCAGGTCCTGGGTGGTACTCTCTTCGAGATGTGGCAGAGGAGGCTAGATTGAAGCAAGTATATGAAGGCTTGTGTGTTTGTCTTAATGTCCAGAGACATCATGCCCGCCGTGGCTGGGTGTCAGGTTCTGCAGTGCATTCTGGGACTTTCTGCCCTGTTTTCTTTGACAGACAGAGCCATGTTCCCGTTCCCAGAATCTCAGGTACTTCCTCCACAGTCTGTCAGAAGTACCCATCCCCAACCGCTGACCTCTGTGACTGCTGTCATCCTCACTTTACCCTGAAGGACCCGGATGGATGGTGACCTTCAGATTCTAGCACCTAAGACTGGAACTGTTGCAATGTTGTGGACCCGGTTTCTGCTTGTGGTGGGATGGCATATTTTGTGTTTTCATTTTTTCCATCCTACATATGTTCTTTTTTTTTTTTTTTTTTTTTTTTTTTTTTTTTTCAGGATTTAATATAACCTATAACTCCATGTCTAGTGGGAGGGTGACCTTGAACTCGTGATACCTTTTGCCTCCACCTTCCCAGTGCTGGTTATTACAAGGCCTGTGCCACCATACCAGGCTTACTTGTGAGTTCTTTTACTTTGAGATGAACTCGAAGCATTCTCCTGCCTCAGCCACCTGGGTAGCTGGGATGACAGGCAAGCGCCGCTGCACCCAGCGCCTTCTTGATTGAGAATGAGTGTATTGCATAGGCCCTGCTTTTGGGTATCCGTCAACTCAGAAGTAGTAGAAAGATCAGAGGCACAAGCTGGGGACATTGTAAGGTGACCAGCCAGTCCCTAGGGTGAAGTAGGAAATGTGTTGGAATCCCAGTGGCTTCCTGTGTCACAGCAGGGAATTTGTGAGGGTGGCGTCCAGGCCTTTCGTCTCCCTAGCCACTGGTTCTGGCCTCTGCTATGGGACCAGCAGGTTAAAGGAAGCAAGAGAGTTTGAGGATGGCAAGAGCTGTCCAGGCTCTCTGTCCCCATCACGCTCACACTGTGTAGGCGTTTTCTCTTGCCCATGAGTCTTTGAGGAAGGAACTGCTCTGCTTGGCTGCCTGGTGGTTTACCTCAGGCTTAATCCATTTGGAAGACAAAATAATGATGGGAGAGGGCCCAGGATGGCTCTGGACACAACTTTTGCTTAGATATTGGGAGACCTTTGGCATGTTTCTTGACTTCTGTTTCCTAGTGAGTAAAATGGAATAGTAAGAGTCTCACCATTTGCTTCTAAGTGTGACATAGTGAGCTTAAAGAGAGGCCTCAAAGTAGGCCTTGGAGCCACATCTGACCCTTAGAAACTGCTTGCTTTGCACAGCCTTTTAGATAGGTACATTTGAATAACATGATGATGTTTGAAATTCTGGAGATTTCACCTAAAAATGGATATTCAATCTTCTCTTGAAAAGCAGAAAGCTGGAGAGATGGCTCAGCTATTAGCTCAGCCGTTAAAAGCACTGCCTACTGTTCCAGAGGACCAGGGTTCAACTCCCAGCACCCGCCTAGTGACTCACAACCATCTAGGGCTCCAGTTTCAGAGGACCCGGAACCCTCTTTGCCCTCCATGGGTATCAGGACACATTCACAGTGACTTTACATGATGCAGGCAAAGCACTCATACAAATAAATTAAAAAATATGTATCTTAAAAAAAGAAAAGCAGAGAGCTGTTAATGATGGTGGAGTCCCCTCCTGTACAATACCCATGTCTGAGCAGAGGGCCAGTGCCTTTGAGACTGGAGGGCGGCCTCCATTCACACTGTCAGAGAACAGGCCAGCTCTCACCACATCCATAGATGCACCAGCTCCGAAGCCAGCCAGAAACCCTGGCCAAAGACTTTCCTCATCTGTCAATGTGGTCAATTTCATCACTCCCTCCTGTGTGTACTCAGCCATGTCAGCCACCGAAACAAGGATCAGTGCAGGATGCATACTGTGGACAACAAGGGTATGAAGAGAATACAAAAGGGACTTTGCTGGGAGGGCCTGGAGAGATGGCTCAGTGATTAAGGATACTAGCTGCTCCTCCAGATGATCTGGGTTTGATTCCCAGCACCCACATGGCAGCTCACAACCATCTGTAACTCCAGTTCCCGGGAATCCAGCACCTTCTTCTGGCCTGATTGGGCACTAGGCACACACATAAATGCACGGGTGTACATGCAGACAGAACACCATATATATAACATATTAATTTTATAATATAATATATAATATAATATAATATATTATATATATAATAAAATATATAATAAATTTAAAATTTGGCTTTGTTGAAAAGGATGTTTAATGCAGGTTCCTACATGGCTGTCATCATAGTAAAGCAAATAGTGACTTTTCTTTTCCTTCCTTCCTTCCTTCCTTCCTTCCTTCCTTCCTTCCTTCCTTCCTTCCTTCGTTCCTTCCTTTCTTTTTTTGAGACAGGGCTTCTCTGTGTAGCCTTGGGTGTCCTGGACTCACCTTGTAGACCAGCCTGACCTTGAACTCACAGAGATCCACCTGCCTCTGCAGGCATGCACCACGGCTCCTGGGGCAAATAATGACTTCTCAGGACAATTTGGATTCAAAGTCTGTCAGGGCATGAGGATAATAGTCATCCTCGGCCAGTGGGATCTGAGGCATGGTTAATGTATATAAGGGTGACAAGTTTACTTAGGAGGAGGGGACTTCGATGGAAGGTGACCACACTGATACCCTTGGTGGAGTCTGCAACCTGAAAACAGAGGTTGAGCAAGTGGCAGGGCTTGTTTGTTCAAGCTGGGCAGAGCGGGAGGCCTACCACTGTGGATTCCCCCGGGGTCGGAGAAACCTCAGTAGCAGCCATCAGTTGATGGGACTGTGACACTTGGTTAGCCCTATAAACTCACCCATTATCCTTTGCGGTCCCCAACCCCATTCCCATTCTGCTGCTTCCACAGACACATAGGTGCTTCAGAGCCCCTTCTCTGACTAATGTGACTGTGTGTTTCTTCTGCACCAGAACTGAGGTTTCACCTGCATTTCTTGGGACATAAATAAAGTGGCAAACCATGCCCTCAGGACAGCATGCCCAAGGCCTTGCCTCTCCCCTCAGTGGCCCTAATGTTGGTGTGCCTCACCAGGAAAGGCTTCTTGGCTAGTTTTCTTTGTAACAGTTAAGTCTCAGGCACAGTGCTCTCGGACCCACACAAAAAGGCTCTGGGTTCCCTGCTCTACCTGTTGCTGAAGTCTCCCCTGAGAACAGGCCCAGAGGAGACTGCCTGAGGCTTTCCTTCTTCAGTGAGTTCAGCCATGGCATGGACTGCCCGAGCAGGGTAAGAAGGCCTCCTCTGGAAGGCATTTGCTACAACAATCACACCCGCGTGAAGGAGATATTCCACCAGGCTTGTAGAGTCTGGCTGTTCAGGAGCCAGACCTGGCTGGTTTCTGATCAGGATGTTCTGGGCTCAGGCTGTTGTTTGCCTTCTCCCGGCTGATTACCCTGAACCTAACCTGCCCAAGCGCTGGGACCTCAGTTCTACCTGAGGTGTCTTCGGAGGGCGATCTCACTATATCTGACAACTGAGTGAAGGGTCTTAGCAGATGCCTCGCTTGGATGCCCAGATACCAAAGAAGAGCCTTTGGAGTCTCTTCTCTGCAGGAATTTCAGATGCTCATTTGGTTCCATGTCACCTGGAATGTTCAGGACCCATTACATCCCTTCTAGGTTTTCAGCTCCAGAGCTGAGACTCTGCCACAGCCAGGTGGCTGCAGTTCTGAGGGACTCTTTGGTGAAATCTGGGCTCCTTTAAAGTGATCCTTGAGACACTTCTTGGAGTTCAGGGCTATCTAAGATACCTCTGGACCAGCCTGACATTTTTTTTCCCACTTGGGACTTAAACCAAAGAGACTCCAGAGCCTGCTCCAGCTTAGCATAAGCCTTTGACAGTCAATGCCAACCTTAATCCTTTTCCCCGTCCCCCCATCTCCCGGCTCTGGCCCAGATCTTCCTCAGATTATAATATCTCCAATGCACCCTGTTCCATACCACCCTCCTAACCCTCATTCCTACCTGAGGTTCATGTCCCCCTTCATGCCCAGGGTGAAGAGGTTAGACAGGTTCCCTCCAGGAGAGCATCCACAGATGAGGATGGCCAGTGCCTCGATGTCCTTCAGACGGAAGACCTTGCCCAGAATAAAGGCAGTGAGGGGCATAATGCCATACTGGGCCACTAAGGCAATGACCACCCCTTTGGGTCTCCGCAAGTGAGCCTTGATCTTGCTCAGCTCCATGGTGCATCCCAGAGAGAGCATGATCAGTAGCAGCATGACCACCAGGATGACACTCAGAGCCTTGTCTGTGGGGCGCTGGCCGAAGCCGGGTGGCAGAGAGAAATTGAAGGGGGCTGTTACATTGTACACCTCCATCCCCAGGCTCAGTGAAGGCCGCCCTTGCTCTCTGTTCCTGGCCTTCCTTGCCCGGTGCTTTGCTGGATGTTTTCTTTAGTCCCCTCTCAGGACAGAGTCTCTGGACAAAATAGCTGTGGGCAAATAAAGCATTACACAACCTGCAGAGCCACCGCTCTGTTTATAAGGGAGCCCAGAGCCTTATCTCTGAGGATCTCCCTGCCTTGCTCAAGTTCCCTGACCTCTGTGCCTGCTCGGTGCCACTCACACCGAGCCCAGGGTTGAGTCTTTCCTATGTACTCTGCTGAGAATGCTTCTCTAGAGTTTTTGAGACCCTCCCAGGACCTGCAACAAACCAGGTCTGCCTTTCCCCCTTTCCTTTAGTGCCTGCTTCCACCTCAGTTCCTGAAGCCTCAGGTTGTGTGCCCCGGAGAAAGGTGCCCCATGCCCTGTGGGTCACCATTTGTTCCCAAGTGAAAGAGACTCTTCCACCTTCACTATTCTCCCATAGGTGGAAAATCTCAGAGGGCCATGGGCCGGGTAGGGACACGTGATGTTGCAGTCTCCAGGAGAGGATGTGTCCACGACTTTCCTCCCCTGAGACCTTGTTTGGTGCCCATATCTGGATCATATGTGTTCTGCAAGAGTTGGGGTTGGTGAGGAGTATATGTGTCTCACAAGGAATCCCTGAAAGGCTTACCTCCAGAGGGAGGAACTTTCAGGAGTGTAGACAGGCTCTTGGAAGCCTGGAGCCTCTTTACTCAAAGCATGGCTCAGAGGAAACTCTGCCTGTGGAGACTAGCTGGTGCCTGAAGCACCCATGGCTTGAGAAACTTTTGAGGAGGAAACGAGGATGTGTCAATCATGAGATTTGCTGGAGAAAAACCAATTTCACCATTTTGGGCCAAATTTGAAGCAAGCTTTGCTAAATATTAAATACTGACCAAGAGATGGGCTTTGGTCAGGACCCTTTGCTGGGATTTTCCAGCTCAGTGGCTGGCCCTGAGACACACCTATAGACTACCGGATTTTCCCACGAGGGGTCGCTATTTTCTAAGAACTATAAGTTCTAGCACTCCAGAAAGCTATCTGGTCCTTGGGCAGGTGGCTCGTACACGTTAATTTTGGGAATTATAGATGAACAGTCTTTTCTTTTTTAACTTTTATAATTACACTTTATTCACTTTGTATCCCTCCATAAACCCCTCCCGCCTCCCTGCCTAATCTCACCTTCCTTCCCCCTTCTTCACGCATGCCCCTCCCCAAGTCCACTGATAGGGGAGGTCCTCCTCTCCTTCCTTCTGATCTTAGTCTATCAGATCTCATCAGGAGTGGCTGCATTGTCATCTTCTGTGGCCTGGTAAGGCTGTTCTCCTTTCAGATGGAGGTGATCAAAGAGCAGGCCAATCAGTTCATGTCAGAGACAGTCCCTGTTCCCATAACTATGGAACCCACTTGAACACTGAACTGTCATGGGCTACATCTGTGCAGGGGTTCTAGGTTATCTCCATGCATGGTACTTGGTTGGAGTATGAGTCTCTGGAAAGACCCCTGTGTTCAAATTTTCTGGTTCTGTTGCTCTCCTTGTGGAGTTCCTGTCCTCTCCAGATCTTACTATTTCCCACTTCTTTCATAAGATTCCCTGCACTCTGCCCAAAGTTTGGCCATAAGTCTCAGCATCTGCTTTGATAGTCTGCAGGGCGAACAGTCTTTTCCTACTGAGCTTCCGACTGGCTCTGCTTTTGCGCACTGGGCCCGCGTGTCTCCGGCTGGAAGCCAGGTTTGAGGCAGGCAACATCAGCAGCATTAGAGAGGAGGTTGTGGCTGTCATTAGCCTCTCCCCTCCCACCCTCCTCAGGTGTGAGACCTGTGGATCTATCAGACATGGTTTTCTCTTGGCTGCTTGGAACTCAGAGGCTCTGGTTAGAGGCCTCATAAGTTCCAAACTGCTGAGGTGGTAATAAGGCTTAATCATCATTTTCTTTTGGTTTAGAGATAAGGTCTTACTATGTAGCGCACACTGACCTTAAGCCTATGACAATCCTGTACCATCCTTTCCCAGGCAGGGTCTACAGGCGCGAGCTACCATGCCCAGTGTGATTGGGCCACTGTGGGGTGGGGGTATCGGCACTCTTGGCTTGGTGTAATTACTTGAAAAAAACAAACAAGTGCTCCTTCACACGCTGCTCTTTTAGGTGCCTGGAGTTTGGTTCCCTGCAGCCATGTTAAAAGGCTTACAACCTCCTGTAGCTCCAACTGCAAAGGAGTCCTCTCCTGGCCTCCATAGGCACTCATACTACCATGTACATTCCTCTCTCCGTACACATATTTTAAATAGACTAAGAAAAAAAAAAAAAAAAGGAAGTGAGAGACTTCAACTGTGACATTGGTGGCCTCTGGAACCCTGCATAGACGAGGATTCGAAAACTGCCCACACCTCCCATGTCACACTCACGAGGCAGCTGCTCCATGGAGCCGTGCAGTGCAGAGTGTGTCTGCTGGCCCCGGGTGACATGAGACTGACATCCCTTTCCGTTGGAGGGTCTCTCATGTGAGTGATTTTCTGAGGTTTCAGTTGGGCTGGACTCGGGGGAAGGGCAGGCAGGAGGCATCCATGAGGAGCACGCCTTGGATGCTAACCATTCCGAGGATTGAGGGTGGCCTGAAGGAGGTTGCTTTCTCGCTTTGGACGAAGCCAGCAAAGGCAAGCATTGTTTCTCTCAGCTTCCTGGCCACCATGACTTGCGCAGTTCTGCTGGCCACAAAAGACCAAGACCTTGGAAACTGTGAGCTAAAATAAATAATTCTTCCCTTACAAGGTACCAGAGTCTATCCCAGATTTGAGGGAAGGGGAAAACAGAATGCATCTCTGAATGGGACACTATATCCCTGCACCATGTGAGGATGGATGGAGGATGGATCCCACACACCAGAATCACACAGTTCACAGCACTTGCATGGAAAACCAGCCCCTGAGGCAGAGGCACAGGCAGTTACTCCTCTGCTGAATCACTAGGAATGCGAAATTTCCAATCGAATATGCTTAGGGGTTAAAGCGTAGCAAAGGTTAACAGCTGAAGACCATGCATCAGGGAAAAAACCACCCTCAGAGGAACCGTCCAGCACTACATAACTGAATTTTAAGAGTGATTGTGGAAAAAAAAATAAAAAAAAAGAGTGATTGTGCTTTAATCTAAACACAAATCAAAGGACAGAAAAAAAAATTAAAGATCATCATATTACGACCCCCTAATGTAATAATTGATGAATGATACATTACCAACAGATGCTAAAACCCAGGGGAAGTGTGGCTGGTGATTAAGATGTTCACATAGGATAGGGTCTCACCTTACACATCACTCATTAATGATACTGCGAAGGTATGTACAATGAGACAGAGAGATCACAGGATTTTTAATAAAATAACGGGCATGTGCTTTTTAAACAAAGTAACATTAATCCACCTGCTATTGTTCGTGTATGCTCACATGTGCACGCATCATGGCACATGTGTGGAGGCCAGAGGACAACTCTGTGGAATCAGTTCCCCCCTTTCACCTTTTTGCGGTACCCGGGAATCCACACTAGGGCCCCAAGCTTGCTCATCCAGTGCCTTTCCCTGCTGAACTGTGGGAGCCCTGGGCCTGTGCTCTTAAAAATAAAAGGTAAATGTAACAAAATTAGGGCAAGGCCTTTTCTAGAATAAGGAACGGAGACATAACCAGATACACTTTATAAGTGGTTATTGAGTTGGAGAAAAAAATCTAGAATCATTTTCAGGGTAGTGAGATATTTGAATAATTGTGGATTGTGTTTGGTTGATATGTGTGTAATTCTTGTTACGTAAGTATCAGTGTTATTGCTGTTAGTGTCTAACTCTTTCTGTCCTTCCAAAATCTGCATGTTGAAATCTAACCACCAGTGTCTTGGGTCCTACAATTTGTGGCCTCACGCTGGAGCCCTCCTGGGGCTGTCCTCTGACCCCTGACCCCCATGTGAATAGCCGGCATCAGAGGCCAAACCTGCCAGGGCCTTGATCTCGGATTTCTCCTCCTCCCGAAACTGAACCCATGTCACTCGCACGTGTGCCCTGCCACTGAGCCACTTCTCGAATCCCAGGAGTAAACATTTTTAACTGTGAGGAAGATATTATTGACTAACATTGAGAGGAAGAGGGAAGGAAAGAGAGAAGTGGAAGAAGAAATGCAGTGAAGTTTTCACTGTTCATCGTGAGGAACAAATAGAAAAATGCTGAGTTCTAGAAAAATCGAGGTATCGGTTTAATTATAAGAGTAACAAGGGAAGGAACAACGACAGTATCCAAGAGCTGGAGGTGCATTTAGTTCAACAGTAGGATAATTGTCAGCGTGCACGAGGCTCCCAAAGTGATCCCTAGTGTGCTGAGTAGTTTCACGTCAAGTTGACCTAAGCTAGAGTCATCTGAAAGGAGGGAATGTTATCTGAGACAATGGCCTCCATAAAATCCAGCTGTAAGGCATTTTCTTAGTTAGCTATTGATGAGGGAAAGACCAGTCCATGTTGGGTGGTGCCATCCCTGGGTTGGTGGTTCTGACTTCTGTCAGACAGAAGGCTGAGCAGGCCATGATGAGCAAGCCAGTAAGCAGCACCCCTCCATGGCCTCTGCATCAGCTCCTGTCTCCAGCTTCCTGCCCTGCTTGAGTTCCTGTCCTAACTTAACTCATGATGGACTACAGTGTAGAAACACAAGCCAAATGAATCCTTTTCTCCCCAACTTGTAGTTTGGACATGGTTTTTCTTCGCAACAATAGACCCACTGAAGACACCTAATACCGTAAAGCAAACAACCAGGCAACCAATTAATTAAAACTTCTAAAAAAACAGCAACGGGAAAAATCCTTCTGAACTTGGAGGATTACTTACAGACGCAAAGACAATAGACCACATAGTGTTAGCTGCTTCAAAGTTACAAAAACAGAAGGAGTGACATGATGTTAGTGTGACAAAATTCAGGCTAAGGTTCCTGTCCTTAGACGCTGAAGTAGGCTTAACTCACCTATCAAGAGGAAACAGATATCCGGACTTTAAGTGATATCCTCCTTTACACTGGGATCAAGCAATGACCCAGGTGTTTTCATGAAAGATTGCGTGTGTGAGTGTGTGAAGCCCAGAGCGCATATA